GAGCAGAACTGCAGGCTCACGTAGGTGACCTCAAACTTCTTGACTAAGGACAGAGTCAGCGTGACATTGTGCGGGTACTGAATGAATTTCTCGGACTGCCAGCAGGTGAGGTTGTGAGGGTTGTTGAGGTCTGTCAGGTACGCAGGAGGGTGATACTTCCTGGGGTCCGACGCATCGCAAGTGTGACAGTTTCTGGTCCTTTCGTCTCCTTTTTCCCCAGATGTCACCACGCAGTAGCGGCTAGGCGTCTTGCCGCAGGTGCTGGACACCTTCACTTCCTTACCGAAAGCGGAGTTGACGAAATCCGGGATGCAGCGCCTCGGGTTACCGTGTTCGTCATAGCAGGGATCCGGCGGAGAGGTCTGTGCCGCAAACAGGCTCATCCCGTTGCCGCCGAGCGCGCTCCGGCACGACAGGGGTAGGGTGAGCAGCGCAGTGAGCACAACATCCACAGCCCTTATCATGGTAGGTCCCTCAGTCCTCAAGTGATCTGCCGCTGAAGAAGAGAAGAGGCGCAGTCAGAATGTGGGAAGAGAGAGACAGCAAAGTTTGGTGAAGACACAAGAACGTGTTAATTCACGCTGTTTGCCAACATCTTCCAAACTAAGACTGAGACATATCGCGCCACACACAATTCTTCAAAATTCCCATTTACCACCACTTTACCTGAGAATAATTTAAAAAGATGTCAAAATACTGGCGATGGAAGGCTAATTTTATGTTTTAGCTGCTCCTGTTTTGTCGTTTATTTTTTCAAGTCTCCTACGTAAAAACAGGAACGGCTGGATTTAAGAGTCGCTGGTGTCCTTCTAGCAAGACCCACTCCTTCTGCCGGTCTCTCTCTCTCTCATTCCCTCTCTCTCTCTCTCTCTCCCTCTCTCCCGCTCGCTCTCAGATTTTGCTTGGCTCAGCTTCAGGTCAGCTCATCTTGAGGGGTGACACCAGGCAGAGCAACGACATCCACTGGTGGTGAATCAGTGATAGGACTGAGGAAGACTGGCTACGACATTACACGAATTAACGCAGAGAACCGAGCATGTGGCACAAACACAGCACTGATTTGACGCTCGCCTCATCTTTATCTGAGCGGCACTTGCCACGATCTTGTTAGGCAAATTACAGTCCAGTGTTCTTATAAGTGCATTTTTCACCCTTGAAAGATAAAAGTGGCTTATTTCAACCCCACTTTTCTTTGGAAACCATAAAGATTGTTTGTGGTTTGTATGAAGTAGGCCAACACAACAGCTATAGTACAGTAAATGAGAGCCCATTGCCCTTTGTTGAGCAGGTAGAAGAAGGGATGCCTTCAAAATAAAATGTCTCAGACGCTCAAATTTGGGATGTAAGCTATCCACTCTATACATTTGCTTAATTTATGTGCAACTTAAATGATCTTAAACGAAAAGCTGCCTTTGCATCGTGTGTTTTACACTTCTCGGGTATTTTTAGATGACTGGGTAGTTTGAATTACCCTATTTGTTCTCACCATCCGCAGGATGGCAATTACAGCCTACGAAAAGTCAGCTGGGAAATGAGGTTTCTACTTACATGCAGCCAACAATATTGAAAAACAAAGAATGTGCAGATCAAATGTAACTGCGCTGTTCTGCAGTCGCTGTGTAGTGCACACCATCATTGTGCAACTGCTGCTCAATGAGACCTGTTGAACCTTGGCAGCAGAAGTATCAGCGCCATCTTGTGCCCGTAAAACGAAACCACAGCTGTTACGCGCAGACAGCTGGTGTGTCTTCTTCTTCTCCCAGGCGGTGGAGACATTACCCCGTTTATTTAACCAAAGTGAGGATGATTGGCTGAGATTATAACTGAGAGGAGTGGAGGAGCTCTTTTTGGGGGGGTGCAGATCTTTTTTATTTTTATGTGGATCTTTTCAGTGGAACAACAAAAACACCTGTTGTGATCATACAATTGAAACATTAAAGACTAAATTATCCCTTGCAAAATATGCTTTTAGAGATATGTATTATTTGCTGAATGTAAGGCCCAGAGCTGGCCTATACACATATACTGTATTCACACAAGTTGTAAACATATACTCTTTGCCAGCAGGATGTACATCATGCAAATAATAATAATCAATAAGATACAGAACACCAGAGGTGGGAAGTAACTAAGTATGATTACTCAAGTACTGTATTTAAGTACAGTTTTGATGTAGCCGTACTTTACTTGAGTATTTTCACTTTCTGCTACTTCAACCTCACTACATTTTACATTTTAGAGAAAAATATTCTACTTTTTACTCACTGCACTTATTTGATAACATTAGTTACTAGTTACTTTTCAGACTGAGATCAATTAAACAGATTACACTAATATCCTCAAACTTTATTGATCCCTGGTGGGAAATTCACAAGCTACCCAGGAGAATGTAAAGTTCTTGAAAGAATACAGATTAAGGTAGTTGCCTTTAGCTCGACCTTAACTGTGATGTACACAATAATACACCGGTAATTTTAGCCCAGTAATATGATACACATTAATGTGAACGGTGCCATTCTCTATAATAGGTACTTTTACTTTTAGTACTATAAAAATATTAAATGTAAATACTTTTGTACTTTTACTTAAGTAATAATTTGAGTATTTTGCCACTGTGGTATTGCAACTTCTACTGAAGCAAACAATTTCACTACTTATTCTACCTCTGCAAGACACGTTGAATAGTGCCTACATTTACTCGACAAAGCAAACAGGAAAGTACACAGGGCCGTCATGTTTTTAATCAAAAGCCTTCAGTCCCACTTTTTTTTGTTGTTAATATTTCCAATTTCAGCTCTCTCCTCTCCTACTCAGTCATGCTCCCACTTTACTTCTCTGTTTCACTGTCATCAGCAGCAGCTTTATATCCGCTCTCAAATGTAAAAAAGAATACTCATTTCCTCACTTAGTTAGAGTTATTCTACCACCTGTAAACAAGAATAAAACCAGTTAGATGTTTGACAGCTGTTGGGTTCATGTGGGGGGTGGAGGCTTGAATTAGGGCAGCCAGAGTAAGATGTTGTTAACAACCTCCTACAGCAAAATCACACAAAATAACAGTTGCTATGGTCCAACACACAATTTGCATAAATGCATTCAATCTATATTTGTGAAATGACATGACTTCCTTTATTGGGAAATCATCTAGAACTAATCAAGGTTCACGGAATGCTTCTATTAGGACACCGAGAAGTGAAATAAAAAAAAAAAGGAAGAACAAAGAAGCAACTTCTGGGTCATCTCTGGGTTTGTAAAGCTTTTTAGACATTGAAAATCCTATATACTGGGAAGTCACTGCAGATATCATGACGAGATCTTTGAAGTAACATGCTTGCCAATATGCAAAAGCAGAAATGTGCTGAGGTGAAAAACAAACACGGGGATTACCCCTCTCCTTTCTGCCACTACCCTACTTATGGATTTTCAGTCCGGTTAAAGCATCTGAGCAATTTTATCTGATTTTAATTTGCTCATCATGACCCTGTTTTTTGTTTACCTCTTCCCAGTGACTCACTTTCTATGTGTGTGTTTGTGTGCGTGTGTGTTTTCTTTAATTTTGAGTCAGTTTCACTCTCATGCAATTAGTTTCTTCTCCCCTGGGCCTTTGGGTGAAGGCCATCAGCGCCTGCTGGCGTGTCAAGCTTTAATGTTGCAGGTCGTTATGATTAGAAGTGAAATGTCCAAAACAGTACGTGTTGCTTTGAGGAGCACTGAAGGGAGAGCAAGCAGAGCAGTGACTTTTTTTGAAAACAAGACCAGTTTCTGAATGAAGATTTTAATTATTAATCCTGAATGATCCTGGTCATAAAGTGATAAATAAATTCTACAGTGAATCTTTTACCTTATCCTGTTTCATCAGCAGCAGCTGCAATTTAATTTTCATATTCTAACCTTTCCTTTTCCTAAAAAAAAAACAAAACTTTATAATCAGCAACATGACCACAATGAATAACATGACATAGTGCAAAACTATGTGGAAATATTGTATTAAATTCGTTTTGTCATTCAAGTAAGAATAAGATTTCTAGTGACAATTTCATTAGAAACAGAGTTTTAAAGTGTTTAAAATGCTGCATAGTTCAATCAAATAAGGATATACTGCATATAATAATCTGTTATATGACTTGTCACCACATTTCCCTCCCTTCACAAGAAGGGGAATTCACAGTCACGCTAATATATGATATGTAAATGACAGGCAAAGCAAGAGGGGGGAATAAGGGCAGCGTTTCCCTGACTGAGGTGGATGCAGAGAGGAATACAGACCTCATAGATTTGGGGAATTAAACACAAACAATCTGTACTTTACTGAAATTTACTGAAAATACATTTTATTGTCTCTATAATATTAAGCAACAATTTGCTATTTACCACAACATACTGGATATAATACAGTCTTGTAGGACTTGAATTTTTTTTTTTTTTAGTTTATTTGCAACTCTAAATGGCACATTAACAGGACAGAGGACAGGACATAGAAAACAAGACAACAAATACAGGCCATTTACAAAAGAGACATGGGGATTTAACATTTGGTGTGTGTGTGTGAGGGTGTGTACTGTGAGCATATTCAACTCTGCGGTCTGGCACTAATATAACTGCTGCAGTTCAGCAGTGTGAGGTTGGCCAGGACAGCAGCATATTTAGTGATTTTGAAATGTCAGTGCTGTTTTTGTATTTATTATGTTAAGACAATACTACCAACACTTAGCTTAAGAAAATAATGAACAAAGCCACAACAGCGAAACAAAGCCACACTTACAAATGTGGAAATTGTGTGAAAACAAACATGCCAACCAGATGACTTCCTTCTAGGGGCCAACATCCCTTCAAAGTCTACAGGCAACCTCTCAAACATGCATGCAGAAACATAGATACACACACAATTACACTTCCCACCTATACACTCACAAATACGCACCAGCAGACATTGTGCTTATAAGCACACCTCTTTCATACACTTCCTGTTTTTGAGTCACTGTATGTGTGAAGTGCAGAAGCCTCTGAGCGCAGCACAGAGCTACAATTAGGCACCAGTGACTGGTTTCACTCGTTTTTCACTGCACCGCTCCACCGTGCCCAGGATGTGGGTTCATCTGTTATACCATGGCGCGTGTGCGGTGAATTAATGGAAGTAGTGCTGAGCTGGAGACACTTTGCCTTGGACTCTTTGGACTTTCTAGACACGTGCAGAGGGTATGGGTGCCGGACAGTAAACTGCAGGTAAGAAATGGCAGACAGTAATGGGTATATTTTATTTTGAAGGGCACCTGCTGCATGCTCTGTCAGCTAGGACCAGGGACAGCGGTCATTAACTGTACACCCGCTGAGGTGGCGTACAGAGTGTATCCTCTGGCTTTGTTCAGGAAACTGTGGCTGACAGTGAAATGTTGATTTGGATGTTCCCCAGGTATCTTGAGAACATTATGGTGGTAACAGTGTTATCCAGTTTCACTTATCTATCTAATATGGTGGTTTGTGCACATTGTGGAGACTTAAGACTTTAAAGTTGGTCTTGTCAGAGTCAAGATTTTGTGTCATCTTGTTATGACTCAGGCAAATGTGTCTTACAGTATCAGAGTTTCTTTCTTTGGGGTGCGAAAGACATTGGGTGTCTTATTTTCTGTCAGATGAGCTGGTGGGCAGCCTCAGCATCACAGTGATGGGAAAAGCATGCCTGTGGTATTGGCAGCCCCCTCTGTGAGCTCACAGACCCTCACTGTGATGCCATTTTGAGAACTTCTGCTTTTTTTCAGATATTCTGTATGATTCATGTTTTTAACAAACAGTGAGGAAGTAGAAACAGAGAAGCATGTGTTGGTCCAAGCAAGAAGTCCAAGCAAGCTGCATGGACTTTTTCTTTTTTTTAAATATCTGTGTCCGTAAATGGGAGCAATAATTTAAGCCAGTGATGTATTGATCTCAGATGTTTGTGTCAGCACTTTAAACTGGAAGAGAACCCACATGGGCTAATTTCAGTGGATGTGGTTTGTTTACCTGAGCAGGTAAGCTCTAATTGATTTGATCAGTTATATGTATATGACATTTACTGTATACCATTATGGGTTCATCATTTACTTAGATAGTTAAATAGATATAAAAACTACAGTGACATCCATGGATTCAGGTAAAGAATCTTAACTGTACCTGAAGACTGTACCTGTACCTGAGTTTGTCGATGGTCTTTGTGGGCTCAACCCCAAAGAAACACTACTGAACCAGTGTCCTGGTTAACACCTTTTTATTGAGTAGACCAATAACTTATTATTCACATATGGATTAAATATACACCACTGACAAGGTTACTGAAAGCGGCTTTTGTTAAAGAGCTGACAGATCATTTTTAATACAGGCAGTCATAACAAGTGATGTAGATGTAGGCTGAAGAAGGTGAACTGTTCTCTCCAGTGATCATGATAAGGCAAGCTAACATCCATATACAATTAAATAAATATTATTTTGAAATAAATATTGTCTTTTTGTGGCCAATACAAATCAAGTCTAAAGTTGAGTGGAGTTCAAGTCTGTCATGCTACTTTTGTTTGTTATTGTTCTGGCATTTTACCAAGTCAAATCTTTGGTTGGTGAAGTGTCACAGCAGTTAAGTTTCTCAACTCAACTCAACTCAACTTTAGTTATATAGCGCTTTACCACAGCACAGCTGACCAAAGCACTTAACATATCATACAAATATAAAAACAACACATAAAAAGCTATAGACAGTAATATACAGTTTAAAAACGTGTTCACATTATCGCAGAAAAAATAAGGTTCTTGTGCAACTCAAGAAAATATGGATAGAACCATGTCACCTTAGCTACAATGGTAACATTGCTAGGAGTAGGTCACTGCACTTTAGAGGGCCAAACTGTGTTTTTTAAACAATCTTGGTAGAGGCACTTGCATTCTGCTATTTTGCTAGCTACTGTACTGTAAATAAGTTGTCTTTATCTGCTCTGGAGACAATATGATATTGTACAGTGTGGGGAATTTGGACACACAAGCAGACTAATTAGTTTCTCATCTGTTCAAGCAGTGGTCAACAGCACAATTGGGGTCAAAGTTGAAAAAAATGGGAACTTTTGGTGTGCCACCGCTCTGCGCTCCGCACTGTGGGAGTCTGCACACCACATTTGGCGACAGGCACGCAAAAGCCCTTTTGCCATGATAATGTGAATGGATCCATGTCTTAAACACTCATGTTTGTGAGACTCAGGTCTCCTGTATCAGATCTGTACAGCTCTGGTAATTTGGTAATCTGGTGATGTTTTAGCCT